ACGATTATATTGTTGCATTATAAAATGTTATCTTGCAGTGAAGATAAGTTCCTCTATCTCTTTGACAACAGGGACGAAATTCAGTTAAAAACTCAGTTATTAGTAAAGAAATTCAGCTTTTTTATTCCTAATCTTTAACTTTGCTTGATCTCTAACTCAGTATAATGTAATACTAGTTGCGAAATACTATTTTAAACAAAAGGATTTAAACACTTATACATGTAGCACAGCCAGGATTGATTGGACATACGGTGCATCCAGGTTGATAGGTTTTCAAGACCAATGCACAGTACCTGCATGGACGCGCACCCACGCAATTGCAAACGCACAAACGCACGCAAATACTCACGCAAGCACGTACGCAATTGCACACGCGCGGACGAACACAGGTGTACATACATGTAGCCACAGAAATGAATATGAATATTTAACGAAAATTTAACAAAATTGAATTTAATTCATATCTGAGCACTTCTAGTGGCATTACTTTGTAGGGAGGGGATAAGCCTTAACTTAAAAGAAAGTACCTCTAAAGAGACGTCAGTTTCTTTGTAAATACTTACGCCAGGGAATGCATCGAAGCCTTCCACCGCCTGAACTGAGTCTGGATGGTTTGCTATCCCATAACGCTGTTGTAAAAAACAGAACAAAATTGACGAAAATTTTAAGATTGTTTGTATTGTTGCTACTATAATGGCATTTAAAATACTATGATACTTGGCAATAAGTAACCCTTAACCAGAACCTTGACCCAAACGGACGGACTTCGGTTTTTAACAAGGTCTAATTACAGCAATCGGGTGGTTAGGGTTTGAGGCATGGAATCAGTGACAGAACTTTATCCTACCTACGTCAGCTTAATATTATTAGGTTGTGAGCTTGAGATTTCTATGAGGTGGAATTCTGTACGTGAGAAGTTCAACACATGTCTCCTTTTCTGTTCTCGTGCGACTGAAGTTTTCTTCGAATGTGGACGGGCGAAAATAACATGTATACTTGTCAAGGCCTATTCTACCTTAGGGAACGACATCAGCTGCAAAAGTTTACTTATCATACTTAGTTGTTTTGAATTGGAAACGTTTACCTGATCTAAATTTCACTAATAAAGCTTTTCTTTTTATTACTGATAGTTGTAAGCTAAGATCGCATGGTCTTCAATGCGCCTTACCTCGAAAATGAGCACGGCAACCCGACACTTTTTACCTTTGCGGCAAAAGTGGATCTTCTCCTCACTGCACGGTATAGCGTAAATGTTAGCTTTAAAGACCTTTATCGACATTTCAATGTAAGCGTAAAGTTGGCTGATTCACTTTAGGGAGATTTAACCAAAGTTTAATTTTCCGTAAATCTCTAATTTTATTGTATGGAAAGAGACAACAATGTCTTTCTTTGTACTTACCGCAGATGGAAGTTTCCATGGGTACTGACTCACTGATTGACTTGTTGTCATGTCACCCTGGAAAAAAGTTGTATTTAAGGTGGCTTACTACAGTTTGATTGATTATAGCAGCCCAACTTCTAAATCTTTTGAAAAATTTTCCAAGATGTTTTTTCCTTTCTCTAATTAACAAATTGACGTCAGTTTTTCATGCGTCTGTCCTATTATCATTGATCATGAATTTTGTCGCAACACCGTCAAAGTACTTTGACAATGTTATGACAAAATTGATTATCGATAAAAGGACAGGCAAATGAAAAACTGACTTCAATTTGTTTTTACGAT